GGGGGTGGGGGGGCGGCCCCCCGCCTCTCCGCGGCGCCCCAGCCCCTCCGTCTCAGGCCGGCCCCTGGGACCTCAGCAGCGCCGAGGGCTGTCACCTGTCGGCGGCGCTTTCCCAGAGGCCTCCGCGCAGCGAGGTGGGCGGGCAACGAGGCTAGGCATGGCTGAGGGAGGGCCGGGCTGAGACAACTCCCGCCCGTCGCCCATTTCGGCCCTACCACGAAAACGCGCGCCAGGAAAAGGGCCGTTGGAGGCAGAGACTTCAGCACTGACATCTTTATTTTCCCCTCCCCTCACATACACGGCAAACGGATGCTTTTCACTGCTCTTCCTCCAACCCAACGCCTGACACGTAGGGCCCGGCTCCAGAGCAGTTCCGCGCTATCCAAGGAGAGCGGCCGATGTGGTTAGTGAGGAAGCGGTAGTAGTGAGGAGATCCTGCGCTTTTACGGATCATGTTTTCTCATGCATGACAGAATGCTCGCTGCGACACAACACCTGAACTCAAGGCAGAGATTAACAAAACATCAGAAGGAGGTAGCACACAAGTCATGTCTGTAACAATGATGCTGAGGGGAAGGGTAAGACAAGAGCAAATAAAGAAAGCATCCAACAAATAATCTAAGTAACAGAACCCAGCACAAAACCTAGCTAACTCTCCTCATGTCCATGGAAGGAAGAATACAAAAAACCTAAACTAGCATTCCAATACTGGGATATCGGGCATTCATCGCTAGTGATGTTGACAGCCCTGCTCTGCTATTTTCCCCCTCCTAGAAAAGGCACTCGGCGCCTGCAAGTCTCGTCTACACGACCTCAGAAGCTTCCCCAGGCGTGCTTCTGGAACTGAACAGGCTTCAGTGTGCACAGACGACAGGAGGTCTGTGCAGAACGACAGCCCAGAGCATCCAGTTACAGGGGAAGGAGGGAAATGTTCTGTTAGCATTGGTACGTTTGTATGTCTACATTCACAAGTAGTATTTTCCAGAACATATTGGATTAAAATCACCTCTACGTTGGTCTCATATCTAAAAATAATTAAAACACTTATCTGCTGACTTGAAAAACTCCAAGCCTGCATAGAGAGCCATGTTAGAGAGCTTCAAAGACAAATTCAGCTGAAGAGTAATACGAACAAAGTAATACATAATGAAGCAAGTGCAAAAAGATCCTTTCCATTATATTACACTTTGCCAAATGTAACAGGTTATCATGTTTGTGTTTACACAGTAAAAACTACTAGATTTTCAGAACTTTTTCACACTGCTCAGAGATATCACCAATATGTTAAATGCAAATACAGAAACTTCAAATATTCTAATAAAAAAAGTGTTGTTTTTCTTTTTAACAAACCACAAGTAAGTGGAAGGCAAATATACCAGAGTATGCATAGCTTTCAAAATGTAAAGTACCTCATGAACAACTGAGTATCCTTCTTCATTTATCTGATGTAATGAATCTTACCTTAACAAGTAAAGATTGAGGGTCAACACTGTTATTTTGGATACACATACTTGAGAGCATAGATGGGAGAATGAAATTTAGAGGATGAAAGTCATATAATTCTGTATATTTAGAACACACATGCTGTGTGCTCTGAACTTCCCTGAAAACACAGTGCAACTCAGTGCATAAACTAAATTAAATCCAGAGGCGGTATATTTTTATTTCTTTGAAAAAATACTGTTTTAAATATTCAATATGCTCTAAACTTTAACTTCTTTTATGGAACTATACCTTTAAATTTAGTTTTAATATGCGAAATATTTACACTTTATAAACTTGCAGAATTTCTAATAAACTACATTATATACACTTACACAAAACTTTATATATAATCCTATTGTATCTTGCAGATCAAAACTCACCACATGTACAATAATTAACAATGACAGAAGCCTCAAGCGTTAAAGTATCTCCTTTAAAATAACAATATCAGAGTCCTTTACAGAGTCTGATCTGCAGTATTTACTGGACTGCCTGAATATCATTAAACTTCTGAGAATATGCAAAATTTTGATTAAATATCAAGAGCTAAGTTTGTGCTGTCATTAGAAATGCTTGCAACTATTTAAAAATATCTGAAAGGAACAAATTGAAGATTTACAAAAAGCCTCTGAAAGGTAGGCTTGAAACTAGAGCTCACTTGAATGTTCAATATAAGTGCACACACTATATGCAAATCTTGGATAGTGAAGCCCCTTAAATACTTTAGAATAAATTTGCTGAACAGGAGTTAAATAGTAAAGTATAAATGTACAAGTTTTCAAAATTATTTATAACTTAGAATTTTTGTCTACTTTGGTATAAAAAAGCTCCTTTAAACAGGCACATTTATTTTTAGAAGACAAATAAACTTTAATACTATGCCTACTGCTGGATATTTAAGCAATGTCTCCATGGTTCTATTTTTAATTATATCAAACTTCTTTTGGAAACATTTATTTTTGTATTAATCCAAAGAACCAATACTGCCTACAGTAATAACCTGTACTGTGCTTTAGTGCTGAACAGCTAGCCCAAACAAAACTTCTCAGAATCCAGTACAACTTTCATTTTTTTAAAAAAAATAAAGTCAATTTACAATAAAAAAGTTCCTTTTATTTTGACATCTACTGAGCTATTTGATTTTTTTATTTAGAAGCATATCAGTGAAATGCCTTTAATATTTCTGTTTAAAAAAGGAAAATTTGGAATTCTCAGGTAATCAGAAAGTTTCAACACTTTTCTCTGACATCTTGCAACAGAATTTATTTTTCTCTCATGAACTCCACGAATGTATTCCTAATAGGAATACAGACATACCTAATTTTATACAATGCAAATATTCCTGCTGCCATTATTCTGTTCATGACATGTAAGACTGAGCATAAATTTCCTTACAGAAGCATGATCTAAAATGTAATAAATTAAAGCATTCTTATGAAAACAATAAATCAATTTAATTTCAATTGTACCAGGCCTACCAAAATCATTCTTAAAGCCTACCATAGCTATGAGTTGATTAATAATGTTTCCAGTCCACAGGTCCTCAAAGGCACATAACTGAAGAGTTGAGGTTTTTTTTAAGTCCTCTTCAAATGAAGACAGACTAAAATAATTTGTATTAAGACAGTCTAATGTAAGGCATTAGAATATTCCTCTTTATGCTATAGATCTATGTTAAGCACCACTTGCTTTTACAGTATAGAAAGAAGCCAACATTTCTTTCAAAAATGTGTTTGTACTTGGGACACCATTTGTGAGGGAGATGTTGATGAGGCTGATGAATTGGATATCTTAGAATTATTTGTGATCTGAAGCTCTTCAAGTCTCCTGATATAATCATCACGCAATGCAAGAAGCTCCACGTAACGCTGCTCCACGGGGTTTGGCTGCTAGGAAGAGATCCATGTTAGTCTTAGCACTTCACTCCAACTACTTGTACACATGCTGCTCAAAGTATCTGGGGCTTCCCGGCAGGTGTAGCAAGTCATAGCTAAACAGAAATACTCATTGCTCTTACCTGAGAGCCCTCTGCCTTCCAGCTGTCTCCCCCAAAGTCAATCCTTGCACAAATAGTTTGTCCAAACTCAGTAAAATCAGCCACCAATTCCTGAAGCATATGGATTTTATTTTCTTGTTATCTAATATTGTGTGCAAGATAGTTACTCGTATACCTTGACCATAGATTTTTTCTTGACTTTAACTAAAAGGTTTTAGAGTCCAGAAGCCAAGTATCTCAGCATCTTCCCTGTCACAGTGTTTAGCCAGATTGTTTTAGCTACACTGATCAGATTAAGATCCATGTCTTTAGCTTAAATAATTTCTCTCACTGATGAAATTTACTTGACTTTTTAAGAGTAAATTTGCAGCTTAGTGTAAATAAACAAGTGAAATAAAAACTTTATTCGTGAATTCTCTAAGTAAACTTGCACGTGTTCAAAATCAACTGCTCTGGCTTTCAGATTACTCAGAAAGAGCCACTTAACTGTTTCCACTTTGAGCTTAACTTCCTTTTCAGAGTAATGAAACAAATGGAAAAGAACTATTAGAAATGTCCAAAGCAGAGAGAAAGCCTAAAGCTACATTCAGCTGAATTTACCTGTCTAGAAGTTGTTGCTGTTTCACAGTTAACTGCCTGTAATTCAAAGCTTATCAGCAGTGGAGTTGCAGCAGCAAATGGCTAACACCTCACCAATTCAAAACCAGTTCAACCAGCACTCTGAGGTGCACCACTCACTATGCACCCACATGAGGATCATGATGAATGCTGAGGCAACTGCTGAAGTTCGATCAATGCTGAATGTAGGTAATAAGATAACTGGTGATGTACAATAATAGTTTTGCTAGCAGAACATATTTCTAAAGAATGGCATTAAGAAAGGTCATTAAAAAAAAGTGGTTCAGGACACATGTTCATTATTCAGTTGCTTAAGTGAAGATAAAGCATAAATTTCATGTGCAGGAAAAAAAGTTGGTTTTTGTACAAAAATGGTGAAAATGAGGCAGCATGGAATACTGTCACTTTGGTTTGCATTTCTAAGGAGAAACTCCTGCTGAAAAGCTACCCCAAATAATGGTAAATTGCATTTTTAAGTGGCTCTACAGATAATTTACATGTCTTAAAATCCTTCACTTCCTAAAATAAATCTTTATATCCACCTTTTGCAAAACACCCTCATCTTTCACAACAAGCAACAAAAGCTTTAAAACCAGAACTTCCAATTCCAATAGGCAATGTACTTGTAAAAAGCCATAGCAAACTGCCAGGCTTTCCTGAAGCCTCTAAAGTGCTGTAAATAATACAAGAGATCAGCTGTGGAAAAGGAAGTGTATTGCTTGAGAACTACTGACTCATTCCAAGGGCTGGACTGTGAAGACTGCTTCTGTCAAACAAACTGCTCCTCTATCTTCTCCTACTCAAATCTCCACAAGCTGTTAAAAAAGACAAAAAATTCTCTGTACACAATCTTTATGTGCCACATGGCTGAGATTTCCAGCAAGACTGTAACAAACACTTTGTATGGATAAAACATGGATTAAAACCAAAGAAATGAACTATGTGTCACTTGATAAAAGCTTTTCTGGGCTTCCAATCTGATCCATTTGTATAATTTTCAATAAGAGGTTTCATCCACAGTATAAACAATGCTGGGTCATCAATGTTACATAAAAAATTAAATGTTACCATCAATACATATAGCTTTGAAAGAGAAAGGATTCAAAAGGTCATTTCATTTGTAAATTGTTTCATATCCACTCTAAGCAAATGGAGACAGACCAAGCAAATGCTTTTCTGTTGCTAACACCCCAACTCTTCAAGGATCAGCAAGTCACTTTTCTAAACATTGTCATTCAGGATTCAGTAGCATCAAATGCCCTTAGACATGTGTCCAAGAAAAAGGGCTAAAAAGAGCTCAAGGATGACTTGCTACTAAACAGGGAAATAAATTCAATTAGCTAAGAGAGAACTAAAATAATTACTTTCACTTTTTTTCTCCATCTTTACAAATATAACATTAAAAACCTGAATAGATTACTGCTCTACAAGTCAGTTAGGACACAAAATCCTTATTTCCAATGTCTAACAGCATTTTTGGTATGTTATAGAGAATTTACTTACTTGCTGCCGAATCCTTGGGTTCCACCTTATGTAGTAATTGACCCAGAGCTCTAAATGCCGCATGCTGGCTACTGGATAGAGTGCACGATTTAGCTCTTTATTATAAAAAGGATTGGTGTATTTAGATTTTTCACTGTTTATCAAAGACCATAACGATAATGTTTTCTCAGTCACTTTCTAAAATGAAATTGAAATAAAAACAGTAAATATTTGCATAAAATCAAGAAATCCATCATAGAAGTCACTGTTAGATTCTGAAATTAGTACCCTTCTGGCTTACTTAGAACACATGCATTAGAGAGATTCCAAACCCAGTGCTTTACAAGTATTTTAGAGACTGCATGGCTCTATTCTATAAGAAAGCCAGTTCAAAATCACTGTCTGATTTTCACCTAGATCACCTAGAGTTAAGACAGCAATGCAATGACACGATCAGTGGTTTAACTAACCTCTTTTTCTCTGACAAACTCGCTGTTATACAAGAAAGTGCCAAACCGGCAGCTGTACAAGTGATCCAGGATTGTAATCAGGAACTGCTCGTTGAATTCAAAGGCCGTAGGAAACTAAAACCAGGAAAGACAAGCTCACTGTTTACATGGAAAATGCAGGGGGGTATGCAAATGCCCTGGTTAAAGGGCTAAAGGTAGAATTCAGAAGTGTGGATACATCTACAAATAATTTTTAAGGTAATACTTTCACATACTTTATAGCAGACTAAGTATTCCAATGACACAAGGTGTTCAACTTTCTCAAACTAGCCACTGAAAAATCTCTTCTCAAAATGTTATACTGACCTTTAATTTATAAAAAGAATAAAATACAGAATACACATAACACTTTTACTAGCAAGACAGAGTAAGATCTCTTCAGTGCATTCTTACAGTTCAGTACCATGCAGGAAAATAAAGGTCCTGATCCTTAGCCCTAAATGGACTAAGTTCACTCCTTTGTTTCACTACTTACTGCCGTTACAATGTTTAAATCACAGTACTCAAAAGCTCCCTAGCTTTTTAAGCATTGACAAAACAGCATGTGTCCCTGCAGTTCAAAGGACAGTTTCACAAAATGGTCAAATAAAACAACAGGTGCCATTAAGACAGTTGGGTGCAATTCCTGTTAAAGCTTTCTGCTGGGTATTCAGTATGTGTCTGAGAATCACGTATCCAGGAATACCAGCCATGCCTGCACAGCCAGTGCCATGTCCAGCAACATAACCACAGCCTGTATATCACTTTCACAGAAGTAAATACACTCTTTTTTACTACAGGTCAGAACAGAGGGGTATGCTGTCTTCTTATTCTTTTTTCAAAAAATAAAGATGTAGGGTTTTAATTCAGTAATCTCTTCAAACTGTTACCTTCTTAAGAACAACAAAAGTTACCTGTTTAGACATCTGCCACACACAATCAATAAACTGGAGAAAGATGGGTGATCTGTCTGCATCAGCATGATTTTTATCACCGTGGCCTATTCTCTGAAATGAAGCAAAGAAGCCTCCTCTTAACTGAAACATGCTGTTTTATGGCAACAGAAATTATTTTGTATTAGAGCATTAACTCTTTTGAAATACAGCAACCCACTGTTATAATTTCAAAATTAGTTACTGCACCAAGGAGGAGAGATTCAGATAAAAAGAAATACTGCAAACATGTTCCAAATAAGTCTGAAAAAAAAATCCAAACTGAAAACTGGTCCTGTTATAAAAACCTGCTGATTATTAGACAAGCAGAACTGTTGAAGCATCCATTACTTAACAAATAATGAAGACATATTCTGAACTACATTTACATGGCAAGTCTGTCAAAAACCAAGTTGCATACTTTGTCCTCCTTTTTTTTTTAAGCCACTGCAGGAGCTAGATCATCAAATTACCCATATGTAACCTTCTCTTTCTCCTCCACACTTGAACCTTATAATTCACCCTGATAGAGGCAGGCAAACATGAAGAAGATAAAAAAAAGTTCATGTTCTTGACAGAAAATTAACAGATTGTTAAAGTTTGGGTGAGCCCCTTATTCTGAGGTGCCCAAAGTAACAATCAAAGGCATTTGCTCCACAGACAAAAAAGGGATTTGGTAAAAGCTGTTTACTTCCTTTTTGCATTTGATATCTGAGAACAGGTAAGAGATTCAGGGAAGAAGAGTTTCAATTAATTCCATAATTCTGTTTGAATATACTTGCTGGAGGGAAAAATGTATGTAGGTATGTTGACCTAAGATGTCTATCTGCCTGTAAAATAGCAAGCTTAATGCCTCAAGGACATGCTCAAATCCTAAGAGCAGTACACTACTCTGTACAATGGCCTGCAAGATAATTTAAATAATAGCATTGAATGGGAGGAAATAGAGGGAGATGACAGATTGCAGCTGAACTCAACCAACAGTAACAAATTATTAGAAAAGGGCTATAAAGAAAAAAATCAAATTGGCTTCCTTGCTCTTCAGTTTTCATGATTTGAAATACTTGTTATCCATTAAGAGTCATATATATGGTTTAATAAAGAAGTGAAAGTCTGTCCACTTCCACCATAGTTAGCAGTTTCAGGATGTCTGACTAGCTTCCATCTATAATTATATCTCATATTTTAATGTATAATTAGAATTAAATTCAACATAAGCAAATTTATCATCTGGAGAGTGCACTAAATTCACCACACATAGAAAAGTTGGGGTAGGGAATTCCTTTTCAACAAGAAAACTTATTGCTCACCTCATTTAATATAAAATATGGAGACAAACTAATAAGTAGTCTACTATTCGGTATTAAATAATAATTATATTAAATAATCCAAACTGCAACCCTGGTATCATAAAAACATGAAGCTTGTGCCAACCCAGACAATGTAAGTAGCACTCTACTCTTCAACTCCCTACTAAAGGGAAAATGAAAATGGTTTCAGAGATGAGGTTCAGGAATTGCTCTAACTGCACTAAGTGTCTAGTTCTCACTATTCAAAGTCACAATTCTATCAATTACCAAGTTAAAACAGAATATGAATGATCAAAATATTTTCTGCTTGCATTATAATTTTTTATCATAGAGTAGTTGAGGTTAGAAAAGACCTTTGAGATCATAGAGCCCAACTGTTAAGCCAGCACTGGCAAGTCCACCACTAAGCCATGCCCCCCAGTCAACACATCACATGTCTTTTAAATCCTCACCACTTCTACAGAACAGTCCAGGAAAGACTGACCTTCACTATAAGCTAAATGACCCCTCAAAATTTTACAGTACTCTTGGATTACAGCAGATGGCTAAAGAGTGGCTTCAACCATTTCCAAAGATTGCTACTTGACTGAGCAAGTTGGGAAAATAGCAATTTAAGAAAAAGCAACTACTTAAATCATTCTTATTGCTGCTACATTGTCAGACACGAACCAATGGACTGAGTGAATCATCTGAAAGGGATGCCAAGTCCTGCCTCACTATTTGGAAAAAAACATCAGTTGAAGGAGAACAAAATCCTTTGATTACCCAACTAAAACGAATGATTTAACAAAAATAAACATAGATTATTTGAATTTATTAAAAATTATGAAGAACACACAGATCTTTTTAAGATCTGTGTTAAACCGTAACACACGATTGACTACAAGTCAATTAGTTATACCATCTAATTTTATTTGCATCCTGACTGCTAACTTTTTTTTAAGTACAAAATAAAATGAGAATAAAAAGTCAAGCCACTGGCATCACATTTTCCTGTGGCTGTACCAAGACAGAATACCGAAAGGTTTATAAAACATATCACTGCTAAAAGACCATAAGTAAGTACACAAAAAATGAGACTACATCAGCTATCACTCCCAACACCCAAACCTCCTAAGCCTCAAAGCACCTTTAGAATGTCAGATCAAAAACTGCCACAGCCTATAAGCACATGTAAATGATGAGGTGATTTATGCAGAGACATACATGTGTTTCCAAATGACTGCAACACTCTCACACATTTGCAAATGTAATATGGGTATGAAACAGACACATAGGTATATTTTTCCATGTCTTGATTTTTTTCCAGATTGCCTATTTTCTGAATTTTAGCAATATTCAGATGTTTAAAATATTCCATTAGGCACATATCCATTAGGCAAAATATTCATGCAATTAAGTTCTACTTAAGTTGTAGAAACTTCTTACTGTGAATGACAAGGTTCAGCACCAACAGGCAACACTGTTGTAATGTTTATAGTAAGTAACAGCAGTCTACCCAGCAACCTAATCTACTACTCCAGGTTCCTCATATAGACTTCCTGGTTAAGTGGTTAGCGGCCACATTTAGAAAAAGTTCCACTAGGACTTTGAAAAGCTTTCTAACACAAACAGGACTAACAGGGTCCCTTCCAACTCAGAATATTCCGTGAATTTTCTCTGAAAATGATTCACATACCTGTGAAACATTAAGGACTTGCTATGGAAGCAACTACTTAACCTAAGCTTCTAACCTCCTGTCCAGAAGACAACTGAAGTAGAGCCAACAATACCAGAGACAGCTTCTTGGGAGCTATTATGACAAATTTAGAGTATTTGAGAATCAGCACACAAAATCTCACTTAGAAGACGCTGGCCAGACTCATTCATCTGCTTCTTGTGACAGTCAAAATAATCCAAAGAAAGAGTGATGGAAAACCTCATGTCCCAGCTTTATCTGATCTTCAGCTGAAGAATTTGAGAGGATACAATTTTTCTGCCTCATTTTCTTTGCTCCATAACCACAGTGACCCTAGTAATTCTATGCTTCTAAAAGGATGGAAAAGACAAAATATGAGTTCTCAGAGATAGAATAGCAAGAAAAATATTGATCAAACAGGTCCAAACCCAAAAGTTCTGCTCAGTTTACCTGGAAATGTTTTAAATCTAAATTCAAAAATAATGACAGGAATTATCAAACCCTGATGCAAAGTAAGCAGTTAAACACTGCAAGCTTTTCAAAAAGTTAATTCTGCATAGTCTTTGCAATTATCTTCTAACTCTTACCGATGCAAACTTGTGTCCAAAGCTTATCCACTCTTTTTGCACCAGAACTTCAAAACCTTCAATGGTTCTGTAGTAGCTGTCCAGCATGAGCATGGCCAGGGAGGTGAGTTGAGCCGTGCGGTCCCAGCCGTCACTGCAGTGAACCAGCACTGAGCTCCGGCCCGATGACACCTTGTCTGCCACCTGAATGGCTCCTGTCAGCACGAGCTGGTGAGGAGCAATACATACCAAACAAACAACACGGTTTATTTCTGCTCAAATGATAACAATAAGTTGATTTCTTTGTATCTGAATTAATGTTGTTTCCATTAAAAGACCTGAAAAGAGCAGTGTAGTTAATTGGAAAAGAATTTTCTAGGAGAGCAAGTGAATTTCTTGCATAAAAATAGAGAAACAGATAGCTTCCCTAATCCCTTAGTAAGATCAAATTCATCTCACAGCAAATTCTTAAAAAACATGGCAGAAAACAGTAACCTTGATAGACCAAAGAACATAAGCTTCTTTTTCAAAGAAAGAAGGGATTTACCATAGGATATACTTTCTAAAAATTCAGTGTGATTTCATTTGACTCCTTTCTTTCAACTAAATTGACTGAATTATCTCAGCCTCTGGAAAAAGAAGCTTGCGCCCTTCTAATATACTTATTTTTCAAATATTAAATTAAGATAAAAGTTTTATTAAGCAGGATTCATTACATAATACTCTATTGTTGGAGTCTGAGTGAAAAAAGTTTCACTGATTACTTTTGTACAGCTGTACTTGAGGCAAAAATTTCAAAGGTCAACTAGTAAGAACACTGGTGAATTACCAGCTTTAAGTATTTTATTTTTTCTACCAGATGAAAATTACAAAATTTACAAATAAATGTACAACATTTATTTATTTACAAAACCATATTTCACAAAATAAAATCACATACACATTGACAACGGAAGTATTTACTAATATTTCACAATGACAGTCATCTGCAGGCCTGTATTGCAAGAAACCAAAGTAAATCAGTTCTCATGCATGTAAAGCAAATCAGTCTAAGAACGCATTCTTCTGCTAAAGACTCTTAACTTGAGGCAGGCAACAAACATTCAATTCACCTACTGTTGCTTAGTTATGAGTTTCATAACATACTCTAAGATTAGTTGGCAAAAAAAGCCAGCACTCACGGATGTTTTTTTTGTAGTCCAAGTAGTTTGATATGTTCCAGGACAATTTCAAAGTTTAGCAAAAAAAGCAAGTATGATATGACATATTTGGACAAACATTTTTCAAACAATCTAGGAAAACTTACCTTTATATGTTCTAACCAGTGGGTTGATTCCAGACTTGACAACCAGTGTGATTCTTCCACATTGGGATAAACAATGTCCTTCAGCTTCTTCAAAGATTCCCGCATGACATGAATATTATGAATATCCAAAAAGAAAAGTTCTGCATTGGGATATGAATCTTCACCTTCATATCCTCCCCCAGTTGCCTACAAACAAGAAATCTGAAATTAACTTTAGTCATATAAACACTCTTTTCAACAGAGCAAGAAAGAAATGAATGTCATTTGACATGGAAATAGACAAAAGTGATAAAATGTTTGACCAAATAAATTTAAATTTAAGAGTTCAGTTAAGAATAAGATACCCTGAATTTTAAAATTATGTTCAAGAATCTTAGATTCTTTCTTTAAGAGGTAAATTAGCAATAACATTAAAGTTTACAGCAAACTACTTTTTCTAAAACTAAATTTTAGTACTGAAGGCTAAACATGTATTTAGACTGTTAAAATATTAAAGAGCCACATAAATAAAAAGCCTGTTCTGCTGCTGCTCCTTCAAAACGTTTCACACCACCACCGCAGAGGATGTGCCTGGTTACAAAAGGAAGCAGAAAACCCACACACATCTTAGGGCACAATGCCACTAAAAAAGGAGACTTTCCAAAGATAAACATTAAATTGTTTGGGTTGGAGAAGACCTTTAAGATCATTGAGTTGAACCATTAATTCAGCAGTGCCAAGATTACCATTAAACCATGCCCTCAAGTGATACATCTTTTAAATACTTCCAGGGACAGTGATTCAACCATTTCCACAATTTTTTTTTCCCAATATCCAATTTAAACGTCCCCCGATGCAACTTGAAGCCACTTCCTCTTGCCCCATCACTTGTTACTTGGGAGAAGACATTGACCTCCACCTGGCTACAACTTCCTTCCAGGCAGTTGTATAAAGTGATAAGGTTCCCCCTGAGCGTCCTTTACTTCACACTAAGCATTACCAGCTCCCTCAAGCTCAGAGAGCTGCAAAATTGCAGCATATCCTGCAGACAACAAAAACATGCCATAAATTTGGATAAATAAATCTTTCCTTTATATGCTATTGCAGCCACCAGCTATACATCAGACAAGAGCCTAAAGCTTTTCCCCATTAGTGCCACCTACAATGCTGTACAGCAGCACAGTATCTGTTCTGTGCACTCTCTTTACTGAGATGTAGGGTTATTATCAGAGCTTCCAGGCTCTGCAGTGTAAGAAGCAATGAGTGTATTTTTCTCTTTCCTTGGAGTGTTATGAAGTCTTTGTGAGGAATGATTGTAATTTCAGCATTAGGGCTGCTGCAGCTCTAGACTGTGTCTTGACCTATGTACAAGGAACACAACAATGCATGAGTAGCACAGCCCAAGATTTTGCTTAGACAAAATCTTCACAGCTGTTCACAAAATATTTTCAGTTCTGATCAACACCGATTTGCACTTATGTCATTCTCCCTTACACCCAGAAATGTACCCTACTGTGTCTACTGCTTATTGAGCATTTCATATTTAGAGATATGAGGAGTTAATTAAAATATGTATATATCAATGTCTCCAAGACATTACCTTAAATTTTTCTGCAGCTCTTGGACAAACTCAATTTTTTACCCCATTTGTTTCAAAGACCTAACTGACAATCTTTCCACAAGGCAAACAAAAATATTACATGTTTTGTTCACCCATAAAAATTCAGTGTGCAAAGGATATTGGGATTTGTACTATCAAATGCAAACAACTGAGGCAGATACAAAACCTCAAAATACAAACCATCAGGTTAAAACTGCCCCTAGGATAGTCTCTGAAAGAATGTGTGCTATACACACAAACATAGTAACAAAGCTTAACAAACTACATTGTGTATTACAGAGAAAACTCTACAGGTACAAACACATGCACCTAATTGTACAGAGCAAACTATCAGTATTATTGTCCCCCTTGAATTACTACTGTTATTCATGAAAGCAATTTAACATTGGTTACACATAAACCTCTTAGATGCAAACATGTTTTGCCATTTCATATTCGTTTCAGCACAAACTCTGAAGAGGGCTCATTTCACTAATCTGGTGTTTGTTTTGTTCCACAAAACTATTCAGAAGCTAGAATTCTTTCTCTCCAGATAAGCACATTTATCATTTCACTCAGGTCTCAAACCCTCTTGAGCTCAGCTCTCATGCTCCTTGCTGTGCAGACACACACCTCCACTAGTAAGTACTGAAGAGCATGTCCCCCTCATTTGTTTGAAGGTCCATGACTAAGTGACTACAACCAGGTGTGACACATCCTCTTATGACAAAAGCATTAAACTTGTCTCCTACACCACCATTCCCTAACATGGTTTTTGCAAAAACAAATGGAGCACATCCATGTATACTATGCTCTGTGTCAAAAACAACACTGACAAAGTGTACTGGCATTATGTGAGCTTGCCTAAATAATCTAATCCTAAACAGAGTTGACAGGGAAGCAGAGGAATCAATCCACAGGCACACATTTTCTTCCTGAAAGGTTAGAGGATATGATTTTTCAAGATCTGTTCTAGCCTGGGCTGGTATATGATTCTGATCCCATTTGGGTTTTGATGACAGATAACAAAGAAACAGTCACCTTACCCAATGAAAACACTGTTTTTGTACTTAGCAACTACAATCACCTGGGGAAGAACAAAAGGTACCAAAGTATCCAAGATCATACCCATACTACTGTTTAGAGTGCAAGTACCCAAACTAATTTATTTATAATTTTCTCTTTATTTGCTGGATGCCAGGATGGGTCTGAAGTAGTCCATATAATGGTTAGGAAGACCCAAACAAAGGATGCCTGTCAGTGGGCTTGGCTTTATGCACACATCCTTTTTAGGATGGAATTTTCCCAGAGGATCTGCAGGTTGCTCAGAAGTGGCCTGTCATTCCAACAGGGGATATGCTCTACAGCCCAGTCTACAGCTACCTCCCAGTGCAGAGCGGAGTCATGCCTGACTTCAGTCCCATGCTAAGATCTGCACTTGGCTAAGAACAGACACAGAAAAGTGTGTCTGGAAATCCACATATGGTCTTGAAACTCTGCTTAGGGATCTACCTTAGGCACTCATGTCCTTTCACGACCTTGAGCCTCAGTGGTTTATTATGTAAATCTATATATTAAGATTACTACTATTCTGTGAGGTTTCCTGTGAAGGGAAAACTTCAAAGTAAGTATCTTTCTCATTCCCTTCAAAAATAAGACATTAGAAGCATCTGTTTACCTTGTTTGCAACTGCATTGACATTGGGCCTTGCATCATAGATGGTCAATTTGGAGATCTGCCCATTGGCCTCCCTGATGGTATCAAGGTATCTTTCATCATCTTTACTCCGCTTGCCACTCATTCCAACCAGGGGCTGACTGCAGCGCATGATTACAGCTTGGGTCTCTGGATGAATCCATGAGAGAACCTAGTCACATGGCAAACACACAGCAAAAAACCCTTATTTTAGTAAAAATATCATAACTTAAATCTTAAAGCTATATTCTTTAAAATACACAGTATGAAAATGAACACCTTTCATTTCTTCAAAATACAATCCCTTGACATCTCAACTGCCTCCTAGTCTCATAAAATTTAATAATAATCTTCAAAAGAGTTCTCTTTCATATTTAATGTTTACTGAAATCATACTTAACTATATAATCCAATGTATTTTAATATTTTCCTACAAGTCTTAGGTTACATAAATAATCCTGAAAACTAAACTAATGACAAACACAGCCATCTCTGCTGAAACTAAAAAACAACTCAGGAGAATGAACTTATTGTAGAAACAGTGATTAATGGCTCCAGTTCTACACGAACAACTTTTCCCTTTTTTTGGATGGGAAAGGGAAGTTGAACCTTTCTGCAGTATCTTGAATGTTTTCTCTTCTCTTTAGAGCGCATTCTGTTCCTCAGCCCTCTTTACAAAGAGGAAGCACTGGAGTGAAGTACATGCTGTCTTGTTGTTCTGAGCCAGAGACGACTTGCCACAAAAGGCAGTGAGCTGCCCAGGGAACACACACATTGCCAGAGGTTAAAGATAAGCAAGAAACCAAAGAAGCTGGCAAAAAATGCAAATTAATTGTTGCAAAATATTAAGAAACAGTATTCTCACCCACTCTGTAAGTTGTGGGTTACAGAGTGAAAGAAGATCAGAGTTCAAACAAAAAAAATCCCAAAATCCAATCCTCAGAAAGTGTTCATTCCTGAGGGGTAGATCAGAAACAACATCTGCCAGTGGGGGAATAGGGGGAGGAGGGGGTGAGGATGAGTGGTTATTTCTTGACAAGAATGAAATTATTATTTAAAATTACTATTTTAATAAAATTACTGTAACCAAGGAAATTACTCTCACTGTATAGGTATACCAAAAGGTCTGTCATGAATTTTGACATGTCACACAAAGGTGACAGGGATGACAGTGCTAGGCTATTAGGACTATATGCACAGGTTGTGGATTACACATATGTATACATATTATACAGATATATGTGTGTGTGTGTATATAGTAAATTTATAATTATAGACCTAGTCTGTCAGTAAATACCATATCTAATAAATATTCGTCATATTGAGCTGTTCATCTGTTTGAAACTGAGATTCAAGATAGCTTTCCGATACTGTCTAAGAATCCAGCACATCTTCCAAGTTTGCCAAAGGGAAACAGCAGTTAAAACAAGTATTGGGATAGAAATTAGTTTCTCCAGTGCTGTAAAAAGCTGATACATAAAAATTCTCTTACCTCATAGAATTTTCATTACAGAAACTCAAGAAGCCAAATGGGTTTCTCTTATTCTACAGATTAAAAAGCCCAAGAATCACTAAAGTGACAATGCATGAGGTCTTATTTTAGGACTGACAAGTGGAATTATATTTAAATGCGATATGTTGCAGGACAACATTTCTGATTACCTTTTATGTGCATTCAGCAATGGTAACCACTGCACACGGCAGTATAAGGCTCATTCCTCATCAAGGGAAACTGCACTGCTGGCCACTGTTACTGGGCAAATCAAGTTAAAACCAATGAAGCTATCATTAGTTATAGTTATGGAGGAGAAATGGAAATATGGTTTGACCAAGACACCATCTTCAAGAAGTGAAAACCACCAGCGAATCAAAATTATTTTGCCATATCCATTTCCAAAAAAAAGCATCCTCTGCATTGCGTTCAGTAAGGATTTGTTTGGATGCAAATTAAAACTAGCTCTGCCATCAGGCAAGTTCCATCACCTTATACTCACCGGAATTCTATTTCGGGACCTAAAGGCAGCAACTTTCTTGAGATCATCATCTGTTGCATTGTATGGCACGACCAAGAGCGAAGGATATGTGTCACATAGCCCATAATGCTCGTTAATGAAGGTCACTCGCCACCGTTCATTAGGCAGCCCCTAAAATGTAACATGAAGTTTTTCAATGTATTTTTGGTTGAAATAGTAATAACTCCACTCCTGAATTTTACATGACATTATGGCCACATGGCAACAATTTAATTAAGTACCATTTCAAAGCAATAGAAGCAAAAACAATTACAAGCCCACACACACCAGTTCATTGGAGATGGATTCACAGCCTTAAACAGCTGCACAGCCATCTAATACCCTTATGCACACAATTCTAGCCTTATAATAAGTTTCAAAACAATGACTGAAACTAGGAGATGTATTTCTTTAACCGTGGGATTGAGGAAAGAAAATTATTCTCTCCTTCACTAATGCTCTGCTTTTCCACCTTCCCTGGTGAAGAGAGACTGTGGGGGAAGAAGTTTCACTATAACCTTTTCTCCCTGTAGCCTGATACTACTGTCAGGTTAAAAGTAAGATTTCTTACTGAGAAAGAATAACTCCTAGTTGCACTCTGCCCAGTAAGGCGTTTCCAGAAGAAATACCGTTAAGTCCTCCATACATGCACAGCTGGGTTTGTGTGGGTGTTTGTATCTTACCTTTTTTGGTCCTTAGGCTTCTAAACCATGAACCAAAAAAACTATGGAGGGTAACAAAAATTAAGGAAGTTCTTATTGTTTGGTATTTTTTTTTTTTTAATGTCATACTTTAATTATCTAACAGACATTTTAAAATGAAATATTAATGTCTTTCACTGACATTTTTCCAAGATCACATACAGAGCAAGGAGGAATACTGATAGACATCCACAAATTCCATAAAGTAATGCTGTTTCTAAAACAAGCTGGTTTTTCCCCTCTTCATTATGGGAAGAACAAATCCAATCTATGTTTAGGACACTACAGTTACATGTTTAGCACACTCTACCTGCCTGTGCTCACTTAGCAGTGGCACATTTTAAGAGACACCAATAACTTCCTTCAAAGAGCAAAGATTAACTTCCTGTGACATTCTAGGTTTTTTTAAAGGCTCAAGCGTTTTCTTTATTTTCTTTATTTTTCTTCAAGTTGCAATTCATCCTCTCCCAGCTGATAAGAGAAATGTACAAACAGTAATTCCTCTGTGCAAGTTAGGAGGTTTGAAAGCACCAGGCAATGGCAACTGTAGTAACTCACCTGTCTCCTGTATTCAGACATTGGGTTGTACACCATCCATCCATTTTCAGAAAACTTTTCTTCATTTACAAAGGCAAAAAAAATCTGTAAGATATAAAAGAAGCTTATTCCACCAAACTCAGACTATAAATAGCAAATATGAGAGCTCATCATCAGTTATACCCTAACGCTTGCTACAAAATAGGACTGACTGCTCCATGCCAGCCCCACTCTCTCCAGTTACATCTGGTATGAGCAAGACTATGAAGCAAAGAGCAACAACTAACAAAAAATATGTATCTGGTAATGAAAATAATGAAAATATGACAACAGTTAAAAGGTAACAAAACCAATAGAAATTATAAAGGTTAACTGGTTGGATTTTTCTTTTTTACTGTCAGGAGGTTGAAATGTTTTAGAATGGTTTATTTTCCATTATCACTAAATAAACTACCGTCTTCTCAACAAATTTCTCCAATAGGCACAGCTTCAATTACAAGATACAACACTGCTAACAAGATGCTAAATTCAAAGTGGAAAAAGGTTTTAATTGCTGTTCATTGCCATTAGGAAGGAGCTGGGTTTCTACATCCCCTCCCCAACTGATACTTACTAAGAGAAATCCTAATTGCTGTAAAACTCCATGAAAGTAAAAAGTTGCTGTTGAAAATGAAACAGTTAGCTGGTTACATTGCTTACTTTTTACTTGCTTTGTTACTTGCTGTCACAATTCATTTATACAGCACAGCAGCCTCACTCAGCATTCCAGCAAGTGTCTCATACCTTTTACCTTCCTTCTCCTTCCAACAAATTTCAAGTGGGCTGTATTACCTAACCCCCTTCTCTTCCCTTGGTTTTTTCTATAGTTTAGGATGAAAGCAAAGTAATGTTTATGTTAAGAATCTTCCTCGTTGAGAAAATTGATTTTAATGGCCTACAAACTCTTCAGATACTAAAACAAGCATGAAACAAAGTTGTTTCAAATAAAAAAAAACCCAAAAAACAAAAACCAAAAAAACAATTAAAAAAGAAAACACAAAAGAGGATGTGTTGTCCTGAGCTAACCTGAGCAACAGCATAGAGCAGAAACACTCCAGAGCCCATCATAGCTCATCTGTAACAAAACAGCTGAAAGTCTCCTAGCTATTCAAAAACATTAAAAAGAGAAACTGAATGATAAACTGAACATTTCACACGTGCAAAAAGACCCTGTAAGCAAGAAAAAAATTTGTGGTCTAAGGTGCCATGATTCCTCCTACAAAGGTCCAAAGAAAAGGTAATGCTTGAAACCTTCACCACCACCCCCATAGAGGAGGCTTTGAATCTTAGGAAGGCTTCTGGGCAATTCTGCTCAGCCCAGTACGTTACACTGCTTTAAATGCTGAACAGCTCATATCAAAACACAAAACTGAATCCCCCTCAAAAAGAGAAGTTTTTTCCTCATGTAGTTCAAATAAACAAATATTTTAGAAGCATGTTACTGCTCACTCAAGATGTTTTATCTCACTAGTTTTACAAACTGGAATTTCAAATTAAGGCACTATTTTAGAGCAAGTGCAGTCATTGGCAAGTTTGCAGAAGTAAACAATGTATTCCCTGGTTTTATTTTCTGAATGTCTTTACCACTTTTAAAGGGGCAGACCTACAGTGCAAGTAAACATTACAAATTCTTTTGACTAAGTAAGCTGCTATCAGAGGGAGAGATGAAGAGATGGACATCTAACCTATCAGAAGGAAACCCCATTCCATTAAAAGTAGATGCAAGTATTAAAAGTTATTTAAAAACCTGAAAAAGGTTGTTTAATTGCAAATAAGGAATACAGCAAAATGGGAATATCACTATATGAGAAGCAGTAGATGGAACTGATTTGCTGAACTATTAATAAACAGCTACACACAAGAACTATCCCCTCCTCCCAAAGGAATTTGCTATATCCTGAAGAGCAACTATGCTAAGAATTCAGCAAGGAACCAGAGACAAAGAAGAATCTTAGAACAATAGGAAACAGAAGCACTGGAATCCTAACAGGCCACTTAAAATGTATCTTGAAGGTAGGAATAAGTCTTTTATTTTCGTTCCTACTTACTGCAAGTTTCCTCATGAAAAAGCAAAAATTACCCATCTGAAGCCCTGGTAAGTAAACCTCATGAGTTTATTACAGCGCACTGCGACAGCTGTTACACAGAACAGATTTTTACTGACAAAAATAAAAAAAGATGCTGTTCCTAACTACACTAAAACTAAACTAAAAATAAATGGCAGCTATGCTGCTCATGTCACCGACAAAAAAAATTCACAAGACATTAGAGGGAAAAGTGCATTTTGTTTACATCTTTTAAAAACCAGGGTTAAATTTATTATGCATGAGGGGATGGATTGAATCCTTTCTGAAAGAACAATGTCCTACTATGTACAGCATGATTCATTTACAAACGCTTGGCTTCAGCAGCTTTACCACATATGTTACAAAAGCTTAAAGTCATACAACTCTTAATTATTTAAGTGGACAACTACACTTCATCAATTTTGTTGATATTTCAGGTAGAACAAATTCTTCCTATGTTTCTCAATAGCAAGAAATTCATTAGTAGAATAAAGCAACCAGCAAAAACCTGGAGTTTAACAAATCACAGAACACTACAATGAATGCAAAGGCATACGCAGCAGAATTTGGATTCAGATTTTTGTATAAACAAATCTGAGGAAACTCCTGCATTATACTACACAAGAACAGTATTTAAAAATGACCAGTCTCTAAAATCCTGAAGACTAAAAATTATTTTTCTTCTTCAACCATTGACTAAATTATAGCAAAAGGTTTATACATACACATTTGGATGTATACCACTGTGTACAGACTGCACAGTTGATCTGGTGACTACTGAAACTCTTGCTGTACCAAAAGATTAAAGATCTGAATTCCGTTCCCACCACCCCCAATAACTGGAATCTGAAATTCAGTAATGTCCCCACCCTACCTTAAGCACACTTCTCCCAAACAAATACACAATTATTGCTGTTTTATATTGTCATTAAAAGAGTAGGAGATACACAAATGCAATAGTCTAGAGTTATACTCAATTAATATAGGTCTATTTAATTCCTAACTACAGTTTACCATATTGACTGTAACAAGCAACCCACATTTATAACCATTTTATTATAAGAATCATACACTTAACGTAAGATATATGATTGGATACAGTTGCATTTTATGATCTGTGTCAGTACAAGCCTTATTTAGCACATGTTTGTACATTACTTCTTTTTGAAACAAAATGTGATAATGAGCAATATGAAGTAATTTCTACTGAATAACATTTTTTGTTGAATTGGGTATTTTATTTTTCTAATTCAACCAAACTGATAAACCACATTATAGCGAACAAGGTGATAAATACGTATTTAGATCCCAGAAGAGTTTGTTATAGTTCAGGTTAGCTTCACATCATCACTAACGACCCACATATTTCTTTTGTCCTGAATAATCCAAGATTACAGATTAAATGCAGTATGTTTGTATATTTACGATTAACTCAATGCTGCTGAATCTTTCTCCTCACAGTGCACAAAATCTGAATGCAATTCTACAGTGCAGCAGGCAAATGGAACAGAAATAAACAGGAATGAGAAATTATGCCATTCACAATGTAACATACATAGGTTCTCTTTATCACTTGATGTAAGATTTGAGAGGTGCTATCTTAGTAAAATTACCTGTCTTTGCTTTTTGTGGATACAGGTTCCTTAATATTAGTGCCCCTCATACACACATACTTGCATGTGGGGATGAAAGCAGGGAGGTCACACCATTGCCTGCAGGCACTAAGTACATACCAGCTGGGTGTGTATTTATAGCCTTTAGATGCAGTGGGCAGAGGAAGGTCGGAGAAGGACATGAGCAGCTCTCAGAATTGTGTGACCCCACAAGGTGGAAAAGCTCTGCCAGCCTCTCTCAGTGCACCATTATTCACTCAGGAAAGCCTTTCAAATACCAGAATAATAAAGGGCTGGTCAGTTCTATGCCTTCTTCACACATCTTCCCTTCAAATCTATGGTACATCCCTATCCCTGCCAGATCCTCCTTCTCCCCAAACAAAATTTTTGGTACTCAAGAGTCTCCACCCTGAACTCCACTCATGTTTTCTTCCCTCCACACACAAAATTCCATTCCTTTCTCTCAATGATAATCCTGCCTCTCCAACAAAAATCTTTTCTCTGCATGTCCTGCTGCATACAGTCTATCTTCCCAAGAATTAAATCAACTGCAGCTTCATCAGATGTGTCCAGATTTGAGTGGAAATTAAAAAAAAACAAAAACAAAAAAACCCCAAAAACCTACATATAAGAGATACTCAGATTCGGAAGAATATAGCAGTAAAATAGAAGTGTTTCATTGTGGACTTTTTGAGATCGTGAATAGGTTTTTCAAAATCAAGAACATATAATCAAAAAGCAGACCTGTGGTTTGCACAGGTGCACCTGAGACAACTCCACATTAGTTTGGTTAGCTACTAAGGACAAACAACAGCACAAGTTTCAGGCAGACTACCTGCTCAACACATCAGTGTTTTGGGAAGCAAGCCTCAGTTATCATCCCTTCTCTCAGCACTGAGACTGGTTAGCTGAAAGCTACTTAAATAAAACACAGATTTATCTCAAGTTATACTGATAATTTACCTCACATCTTGAGTTCAAGGAAGGATAATCAGCAGTTACTTCCAATGCACTGATCATATCTGTTCTAAGTTTGATGGAGATTAATACTACATGCAAGATGGAAGCCCATCAACTCTGATTAGTCAATCAACTAATTAAAAATCAGTTTCAAATTCTTTTCAGCTACCATGGGAAACCGAAAGAATAAATCAAAGAAAACATGAAACAAGTAAGAAATCAAGAAAGTGTAATAAATCATCACTCAAAACACTTTTTGGATGCAAAGTTTGTGACTTTTCAATACCCATAGTTGGCAAAAACCAAGCAAGACTCCCCATCCATCAGCTAAGATTTTTCCAAAACCAAATTAAATCCCTGCACAAAATGGAAGTAGGAATTTCATTGCAGATCCACAGTCTAAAAGCAGATGACTACTGCTTCACTTGAACCAGAAGGCTAAAAAATCTTCTAAATCTTGTAACATTTTTGGTAAATCACTTTTTATGCTTCACTGTGCAAATAATTGTTTACTTGCAGGTAAAGTAAAACCACAATTCAATCAGTCTCTATTTTTAAGCCTCCTACAGACAGAGTCCTTAACATTCAATTTCTTCTTCCCATTTAGTATACAAAAATAATATGCAATACACTGGTTGCTCAAAACACAAGATAGTTCTGTGAGGCAAAGGAGAAAGCACCTACAATCTGACAATTGCAGTTTAGCAAGCAGTCTATTTAGCAGTATAAATGTAACATAAATATATAAACACCAGTATAAATACATTAACTACATATTTACTCTTTATGGAATCATAGCACATTAACACATACTTGTACATGAATATATAACACAGACACAATTTATTAAATATTTGACCAGTCTTTATGCATTGTAAAAGAAGAAGGCAGTAAAACTAGAACAAGAAGCTGCCACACACCTGTGAAGAAAATCAAATGCATTTTCTATTTCTAACTCACTGAAGTATGCTTTTTACATATCATAAATTACTAGGTTTTTACTTGCGGTAAAGGCTGACAGTTTCTCAATGTATCTAAAAATAAACATATCGTTATCCTTGCCATTATTAATGGCATTTAGTATGCCATTACTGCAACCTAGCCAGTTATATCTTACCTGCTCATCTAAAAACTAAGGTCAGACAGTGCTGGTGTAAGTCCCCCCTGGTCCTTTGTGAACATGGTCAACTCACACCACTGCTGCCCTGTGTCATGGGGAGTGAAGGGTCAAGTAAAAGGGTTCTTTGCGAATTCAGGTGCTCTGTCAGACAAGCCCCTTCACCAGCCTTGTTCCAACTAAAGTTATCTTTGCAGACCAACAGCAACACTGGCATGAGTCAACCCTCAACCATTTTAAATGACCAGGATAAGCAGTGACACCAGGAGCAGTTAGTCAGCCAGCTCAGCAACCAGTTTCACCAAAATGGGCATTCCCACAGACCTACTGGGGTTAGGAATAAACACCGATTGTGCAGATACCATGGTCCTGAACAATCTTATAAAAATGATGATGTGTAGTCTCATGGTAAGATCAGGAAGTGAAACAGCTGCTATGTAGAAACTAAACTAGAAAGACCAAATATATGTCATCTTTTGTGGTTTACTGAAACATCTCATTTGTGGGTGTTGGCTATTTTGGTTTTATTTTTCCAAATGTTAAAAAAAACCCAAAAAAACAACAACCACTTTCAGCAGCAATTTTCTTTCAATTAGCACAAGTTTGCAAATGCAACAAGGGATTAGCAGCAGCAGCTGCTTGCTGCCCATCAACTATGCTGTCATTCAGATGAACTATCAGATTTTACTTTATGTTACTGATTCAATGATATCTGAACCCAACCTATGCTCAAATTGGAGACAAACAAGAATCAGCTTCTGGATGTAAGCACCAAGGACAATGCTGAGGGACAGAGGAAGAGTTGTGATCAGGCTTGTCATTTATTATACGCTCTCAAACACTGCTGTGGGATGGTGATGGAGACAAATCTTGAAAACAGTAAGTACACTCCACTCAAAAATAATCTTTTGGGTTTTATTTACCATCCATTTGTATGAGAATGGTACAGCATGAAGAGAAGCAAGGCATCTCTACCAGTTCCTGTTTAGGACCAGCTGTTGGGATATAGTTCCACTACAGCTGAAAATCAGTAATATAAAAATCCGATATAAAATATAAAAAATACAGATAAAAATCAGGACAGTAAAGCTTTAGAACTTTATTGTCCTGATGATATCTTCTTTCTACTGCAAACCTGTACAATCATCAGTGCTGCTGAACCAGCTAGGATGCAATTCCACAAGATGGTCTGAGTTTAACTAACATTTTACCATTGCTAAAAACAGGACATCCCTCCTCTTTTCTCTCCCACCTTCTACCTGTTCCATTCACATGTCCACTCCTGAACTGGTTCTGATGCACACTGATTTCTAACCAAGTCTCCCTAAATTGTTCAAAGCAACACAAGACTACCCAGAATATTTTGTGCTAAGTAAGTTATTTTTGTGATAAGTAAGTTATGCTGGCTTAATGATTACACAAATACCAGTCTGGTATTAGAAGAATAATCAACCATATGACTGAACCTTTCAGTCATAGAGAGGAGACCAGAGAAGAACAAGAGCTGAGCATTTGAGTATCAGCGGGCTTCCATCTCCACCCAGCTGTCATGGAGAACTACAGCACATTCTTTGTAGAACATCTCCCTGAGTGAGCTGGCTGCATGGCCAGAGTGTTAAGAGAGCACTCCAAAGCAAAGGCAGGCATGCACAGTCCCAACACACTGCCACATTCACACAGTGAAACCTTGTTCTAAACCAGCTACTGAAAGGAGCAATGCTATCATCCCTCATTCACATCTACCCAGAGATGCTTTGACCCCATTCCCACTTTGGACTAACAAGATAGGAAACAACTCAGAGTAAAGCTTTTATTTTTATCTCCTTGTTAACTTTAGTTGTTTTCAGTTCCCTATCTGGCTTATCATGCAGCCTCAAACTCACATAGCAAACTCACATAGCAAACTCACAAGCAAAAAGCAAGGCAGGAATGGAAAACCAGGCAGAAACACTTATCTTTGGCAGGTTCAGTTTAAACTGCTTGCCAAAAAATCACACACTTGCTTAGTTCATGTTAAAGTTAAGGGCTCATTCACACTGTGACATTAGAAAGTAAGGACAGCTGCAACTTCAGATGTAACACAGGCTCACTTTATTGCCCTCCTAATTAATCCTGATTTCTAATGGGTATACTCTGCCTCAGACGTAGTTATGAGACAAAGTACAGCCACTCTATCTCCACATTGTCAACATCTCTCTAACTTCTGTGCTTTACTGAATCCAAGGGCCAAATTACTACTGCCTCAACCAAGACTTTTGTTATTAAGCTAAACTTCTGTTGGCAAGTGGCCTTCACAAAGGCCATATAATGATGAGCTTTATTAGGTTCAACAGGTCCAGCAAATAAAGCAGGAAGTGGACAAATCCACACATTACTCACTGCCACCGCTAGACAGGATCTCCAGGTCTTTTTGGATGATGAACCTAATACAAGTCCATATCTCATCAATGTGGTATTCACACCCCATAGCTGGATTATCCCACAAGGCACTGTCCTAAGTCAGTTACAATTTGATTTGCCCATATTCACTACATACAACAAGGCACTGTTCTAAGTCAGTTACAATTTGTTTTGCCTATATTCACTACATACAATCTTCAAAAAACCAAAAAATTCTTCAGTATGATAATGTGGATGAGATTGCATGGGCATGATGGAATCTACAACACAGGAAATATTCAACAATACACTTTACTGTGCCCTGGATAACCCAATCTACAACCCTCTTGCAATAGAAGCCAGAACCTCGTGATGTCTAGAAGACACGTTTGACCTGAACCTCTCCATGACTTGGTATTTCCACATACAGCTTCTTCTTTCACATCATACTTTCAAGGTTCACATATCCTATCATGCCTTCAATCATTCTCTATTTTAAAATGGATAAACTGGCAACAGTAGAATTAGATATATTCACTTCTTCAACAACCATCTTCTTTGTGATTACAGCTCCTCACACCTACCCAAATGTAAAAATCTGTTTCATTTTGGAAGGCCTATTCATTAACAATACAAAATATTCCAAACAAAAGCATTTATTTTCTCTTATGCTTTCACTCCAAAGTTTGCATATTGAATGAAAATTTCTGCAGAAAAGTTTTAAAGAATTAAATGTTTATAGAGTCCAGCCCATTGACTGACACATTCCTGGAAAGAAGTAAGATTCTTGCTACAGCCTTGTATACTTTGAATTCTTTGAACAAAGTTCTTAAAATTCAGAGCAGAACCTTCCAATACTTTGTGAACAGCACTCTTATACAAATAAAGCACACCAATAAAGTGTAAATTTAATATTACAATGGACTAAACAAAGCATTTACTAAAGAGAAGTCAAATGACTCACACTAAGGACAATGCACAGATTTTAAAAAAATGGAAAATAATGATTAGCTTGCATCACTGTTGCTCAATTCCTTCCATAAGAAGCTTTTTTAACCTGAAATAAATCTGAGCAAATTCATAAATGTATTCCTGTTAAATCTTTAGTTTGATGAAGAAAACAAGTGCTGTCTTACCTTGCTTCTTCTCCTGAAATAAAACCCTTGGTGATTCATATTTATCATCGCCTTGGAGACTGCTTGCTTAATTAATGTTTTCAAGAAATCAAGCAAGGTACATATTCCCTATATTCCCAAATGAGGGAGGATAACTTGCAGTTTCTAAGCAATGAAATCTGTATGGAGCAGAGGTGCTCAGTCATATATCTGGAGTATATCCATAATTTTACAAAATGTATAGATTTAAGTGTTGTAAATATACAAAACAAAAGCTGCTGCTCAGTTTATCCTGACACCTGTTTCTGTGGTTATACTTTTTAAGCAGCCATGATATAGCCATTTCTAGGTCAAATAGGTAAAGCTAATTGGCAAGAACTCTGCATTACTACAACTCAGAAATATGAATAGAAATTATGTAACTTACCAAGTTATGTGACTGGGGAAAAGCATATTTTGTGAGGACTTCAAATATATCTCTCCTACTGTGCCCTTCTTGTTTTAATGCAAACCGTAAATTCCTCATATCCTAAAACAAAGCCATTATCTGTTAGGTGAACCAAAGCTGTAAGATTCTTCTCTCTGTACAAGTGCTATATTATACACCAAACATGATTTAGAATCTGCTTGTAATACATCTCAAACCCTTATGAATGTTCAGTTTTACTTCTTATCCCATAAAATAGAACAGAGTATAAGAACTGAATCAAGAAAGCAGTACCACACTCTGTGTGCTGCAAATGGCACTTTGACATGAAGCCACAAGAAATGGCTCTATTTGATTCACTAAAAAGTCTCACGAGCTATTGAAAGTTTGCAGGATGGGAATTACTCTGTTTTTAAAAGAAAGATTTGCCAGTAATCTGGGTAGAATACATAGTTCCTATGTTCTCATCACTGGTGTTAAAAATAAGCAATCTGCACATTAACTGCTAAGAATCAAATGTGCACACAATCAATTAATCTAGTAAAGGACCCTGAATTATCCACTGAGAACTTCCCTATGACCATAATTTTCCATGATGACAATTTTTTGTAAGACTACAGATATTTTTTACATAAACTTTTCACTGGCTCTATAGTTTACAAAGACCCTGTTTGAGGTGCTCTTCAAAGACATCAGAATTATTATAAATATTTCTTTTAGAACAAATAAAATAAACTGGTGCAGGAATAACGCCCTAAAATACAACTGATGTGCAAAACCTTGTCAATTAAAAAGCAATATCAATCCCTCTGCTTGAGTGCAGGGAGGACAGGTAAACAGCCCCTTATACAAAAGGTATTTCCCTGTCCAGTTTCAAAAAGCTGTTTTTAAATTCATCCATAAGCATGTACTATTCCTGTCCTATAAATAGGTAAACAGTGAGAAAAAAACCCTCTAGATTTCATTTCCTTCCGAATTACTGGAAAGTCTTACTTTACAGGTTATATCTAATCCATAAGAGTTTTCTCCTCTGCTTGAAGCTCCTCCCATTTTTTCAATCCTTGAAATTACACCCAATGGAACATTCAAAATCACAACTGGATCCTGCAAGAAAAGTTTGTGTAAGGAAAAGATTAATGGGAAAAGAAGACTCAAGCAAAATGTTCTTATGCATTCCCGAATAGAAAGCAGACATGAAATGCATACAGGAAAGAAACATTTCTGCCTTTGAGTCTCCTCTCCCAGCATGTTATGAAGTCTGTACAGTCACTCTACAGCCTTGAGCATCCTCCAGTTTAACATGCTAGAAAAATATTTCGTACCTTGTTCAGTACACAGGGAAAACAGTGGCAATACCCTAAGAGATGCCTTCTGCGACATAGTGATTGTCCCAGCTTGCTAATACTGCTTTATTGATATACAGCAAAAAGCAGAACTAAGTGAAAAAAAGACATTACTAGTACAGTTAGCTACAGCCAGAAAGACCTCAGTTCAACAGTCCCAAATCCTTATTTTTTTAAAAAAACATACTATGAAAGCAACCACAAGCACATTTTACTCTCTTCCATGTTACTGCTTATCAAACACATTTACCACTCCCATCACTCACGTAAGGTTCTACTGCTCAAAGCATTTTTCTCTTCTAACAGCCAGTACAATCAAAGTCTCGGTTTACTGACAGCCATTTTAAGAACTATTGCACATCATTAGTTGCTGCCCTTGATTTATCACAGATTAAGTGTAAAGGGAACAGCTATCAAAAAAGCTCTGAGAGACAAAAGATAAAGGTATCAGTTCAGTGTAAGTGACTAAACTGACATTTTACCAGGCAAAAACCACACTTTTATAATACACTTAACTTTAAAAAACTTATATTTTTATACAGATTTCTCAGTGGCACAAAAGCAATTACTATTTAGTCATTTCAGAATTAAGACAGGGTAATTACAAACATTACATACCATTTCAAGCAAAAAGCCTCCCATGCAATTCCACAAGCATATGTATGCCAAAACTAAAACAAATGAACTGGCCACAAGATAAATCAAAGGCAGTGGGGGTGAACAGAAGGGAGTTTAAAGCCAACTCATCCCATTAAGTAATTGTGACATATTACTCACATTTTCCATACTTCTTAGGTACAACCTGTAGTTCGTGATGTACAGTCTTCCTTTAATGGGGCCATTAAATGGACACATATAAATAACATCCTTGTCTGTAAGAAATGTAGTATTTCTTAACAGATTGTGAAAAGACAAAATGAAAGCTAAGGACAGTATCATTTAAGTAGCAGTAAAATAAACCGAGAACTGTATTCAGAGGTGAATGAATCTAGAAAGTAATACATCTGAGTTTTATCTTCTTGAATTATTAGGAAAATGTGAAAGACTCATATGCTAAACTTGTCCAAATTAAATGCAAAGATTTCAGTAGCCTTCCCTAGTTATAGTTGTGTTTTCTTTCTCAGCACTACACAGGAGAGGGCAGGACATAGAACAGGGAGTACTGTTATTACTGTATCATAGTCTATTCACCATCCCAGAACAAATACATTGTTCACACTATTACACCATTCTGTAAATAATTTTCTACTGAAGTAGTAGTTCCAGTTGTAGTGTTTAGGGAACTCACCATGCTGCAGAGAAACATTACATTTCAATTTGAGACAGACTAGGTCCATCAGCAGTTTTTCAGCAAGGACAGTAACAGAACAGATATTAAGACATACCACTCAAAAATATTTAAGTGAAGCAATGCAAGCAGTATCACAACTGTTCAGGCTAGAAAAGATATCTCAGACCATTGAGTCCAACCATGATATTAAAGACTTCCATTTGTTTCTTCCTGTCCCCTCATTTCTTTAGCCCAATCTATTTATCTGCCTTCCACAAAAAATGCCCTATTCCAGGGCAGTGCCCCAAAACACAGACAATTTCCATAAGTATCGCATCATACATCCATCTTAGTCCCACACCCTCTCCCTCACACCTTCATTAAAAATAAAACTACTTCCTCTGAATCACCACTTTACTTTCAACTGAGCCAATCTTGTTTACAAATCCACCCAACAAAACTGGGCATAGGGGAGGAGAAGCTGCAGAAGCAAAACATAGACCCCAACTAAAACTTCCATTTCAGGAAGAGCCTCCATCAACATAACTACATGATACATTAATCTCCCTCATGCTACAGCATTTCTTTATGTAAAGGGCAACAAGAGCAAAGAAGCCCTGTTCATCCCCTCTTGTGTCAAGGAAGCATAGGATGGTAGTTTGGGAATTCACCTTTAGGCTTAGATTCCACATCACTCTACAAGGTATCAATGCATAGTGGGTGGAACATAGAATTCCCTTGATTTCACAAAGCTTGGAGGATCTCTCATCACCCAACATGTGCTACTTAATCTGTAGATACAATTAGGACACAACTTGCAATTTCTTTCCATGGCAGACCTGCCACATGTAGAAACAAAGATTTTAAACACTTAAAAGTTATTTGTGAAAATTGATAAACATAACATTTCACAATTTCTTTGAAAAATTCATGACATTTCAGCATGACTTACCTTTGCCCCCAGCCCAAACCAGTCCAAATTACAAAACCATTCAGTAAGATACAAGTGTCTGCCAGACTGCTGAACATCACTGCATCAGGCAGCTATCAAGCCTCATACCTGTAACCCTGGTCTCTCCTGGCAGATGAGGTATTTCTTCATTTTGTTCCCAGTTAGCTCCATCTTTTAGAGTCTAAAGAAGAGAAGTACAAACAGAATATCATAGTTTATTTACAATTTCAAATTCCAGATTAAAAACAAAAACAATCAAACTTAAAGGTAATTCCTTCATGGGAGAGAACAGGTCTTGCCAAAGTAGGAATTCACACACTGAATTCCAAAACAGGAACACACACCACTATCTTAAAATGCAACTATGAAACATTTAAAGGTTGAACAGATCTGAAATATAAGCAGGTTTTAATCTTTCTCTTAAAAGAATGGTCAGTTATTTGTATTAAATTGGAATTAAACCTCTATACTGTAAATTCTCTGGAAGTTTTGTGCACTTAATTTTCCAGGTACATCGGGCTTGGAAGAACAACTCAACTGAAATTACCTAAGTAATGTATTCCCAACTGTCACACACAATCTACTCTTTTGTGACCACATTAAGTAGCTTCTCTGCTCTTGCACCCTGGTTACATTTTCTTCAGCTGCACAGCATTAGAAAGCAGAAGGGGAAGACATTTAGATTGTTTTAATGTATTTTTCACTCTAGATAAACAGCTTAAAACTAAGTCAGACAAACATGACAAGGTATAGCTTAGCAATTGCAATACAGAATCTAAAGCAACAAAGTGCCAAAAATTTTCAAGAATGCCACAGAATATTTCAAGGTAGAAAGCAAGGATAAGATTAAGTACATTGGAACTTACTTTAGGGAGCCTCTCACTGGCTATGATAGAGAATATTTTGCCCACCTACTCCAAAAGATATTTAAATCATCTCAGTTAACTGCATTAGAATTTTAGCAATAAAAATAAGTATATACATACAAGAAGCCATTTAAACACTTATTTTTCTAACCAAATATGCAAGACAATGCTCTCTGGGAAATCTGATGTACAAAAATAAAAACATGGAAAAAGTTACACTTACCCGTTTACTTGAGGAATTCTCCAAGGAGTTTGAATTATATTTAGGTGTTGATGATGAGGCCATGCCAGGTATCTGACAAGTAAACACAAATTGGAAACTTAAACTTCCCCCTGAGCTACAGACTATTTCCAGGAGAGATTTTAGACATTTGAGGTCCACAGGTAGACATCAAGAACTTAAAAGAATGTTTTGCAAGCTACTAGTAATTCAAAAAAATTACACAATCCCTCGTAATTGAAGATTACTATTCAAAAACATCCAAACCTAACAAGAAATTCATTACTAGCTTTGCTATTGGGTCTTAAAATAAGGAATATTCTGACTCAAGCTCTATAATGGAATTCAGATGTTGGAATACTAGTATTAGTTCAGTAAACAGACATTAGTGTTTAAGTCACTGTATGTGGAGGAGGCCCAGTCCTCTGACAGGCATCTGCGGCATCCTCCCTGGAGATCAATCCCCTAAGACAAGATGAAACTACTTAGTCACTGTGACTAAGCTGGGGATCCCTTCCTGCTTCAGGACCCCATGTTATCTCCCTGCTAACTACTGGTCACCTTATCCCCTCTCAGACCATTGGTCCCCTTCCCAATCCTCCCCCTCCCTATAAAAGCCCCAGCTTTTACCCAATTCAGGGTTAGACCATCACTGGGCCCCTTCGCTGAAGCCTGCATTAAAGGACTCTCCGTAGAACATCATATGGTCTACCGTCTCTTGTCTGTGTTGGCAGGGGAACCCTGGAACGGAGCTGGCTGGGCTGAACAGAGCTGATCACAGGGCAGAAATTACTGCTAAAAGAGCTGATCACTTAAAGCCCTTGCCCGTGCTCCCAAGGTTACCCCTGGCTGGAGGCTGCCTGCAGAACCCCTGACAGCGGCTCTGTCCCCTGGGACAGCCTGGCTATCTGGGCGCCTTGCTGGCAGAAGCTGGGGGTCAGACCCGCCCCCAGGATCCCTGCCTTGCAACAACTGTTTACACATATTATGAAATGCTACCTATTTGGAGTATAATTGCACAGCTCTTGGAAGTCACAAGCATGTCAACACACGCAAGTGGTTCAAGTTTAAAAAACAAAACAAGAAAAAGCAGGAGTTCCACAGTACTTCTCTGTTTAAAAACAATCCCCCATTTCCTAACTGAAGCTTCAGTTAGTACACCAAAAGAAAGAGTGGCCCTCTGGTCTGTTCAACCTTCATGTATTTAAAGGAAAAATATTTTCTTTTTTTTTTTAATGGTATTAATTAAAGACAGAATCTTGTGTGACAGAGGATTCATCATCTTAATTTCCCAATATTGCACAAAGGAATTCTAGAATTAACACTGGGAAAGCACTTCCCTTTTACTACTCACACTCCTGCCATCAACTGATCTGACAACACACAGCAGTCTTGAAGAGATTGTTTGTTTGTTTGCTTGAGGGGGGGGAAGAGGGAGACAACTACAGACTACACAATCTTTGTTTCTATTGCAGAAATTTGTAGTCTTTAAACAGAACTGTCTCTCCTCTCTCAACACTGGAAAGTTTGGCCAGATCTCTGCACCATGAAAAGCAGCCCATGCTCCTGTGTAACAGTGGGGTAATAATGACACTGCAACAGTTCTGTGACAGTGACACATTAAACTACAAGAGGAAAAATGCTTTGACATCACTTTAACAGTACACAAATGTACAGGAATAAAGAGGAAAACCACATCCTGAGGTTCTACACGTTTGTTACCCAAGTCCTTCAAATCTCATTAGCAACACAGGAAACTTGACATTGTGTTTTAAAACTGCAATATTCAGTGATTCAGCTTAGCAGTAAAAATCACATCCTCCACAAAAAAAAATAAAATTAAAAAGGAACATACATTCAGTTGAAAAAAAAGAAAAAAAGCTTTTGAATGCCACAGAGCCTGTGTGACCCTGAACACAGAGGTTACTAACTCCCTTCTGGGTCTCCAGCTATCTTAACTTTCTCCAAACATTAAAACAAGGGCCCAGAACTACTTTTAGTGCAATGCTTTTTAGCAATCAAAATTAAATCATTATCCTTGCAAAACTACCTTCCACAGAAATATGGTTGCAATACTGAGTCTAATATTTTGACCACAGATTATTAAGAGAAGATATTTTCACAGCTTTTCCTTCCTTGCAATATCTTACATACTATAAACTTAAGGTAGCTTCAACTTTTGCTATATTGCTATGCCAACTTGTTAATATCCAATACTTGTTCAGAAGAGATTCTTCAATTTACAGAAGTTCAAGATTTTGTAAAGGTAAAAGGCATATTTACTCAGAAAGTTATTTTTTTAAAAAAATGCATATGAAGTGTCCTTTTTTTCATATTTTAGGTGAGAAATGACAGGTGAGACAAGGGCACACCAGCTCCAGTTTTTCTATGTCAGCAGAGACTAAGTAATTGGAACTTTTAACAGGAGTTCATGTAAATTTAAATTAAGGCTGCACCATCCACAAGAGACAAGAGAGCATACACAAGCCCTAGAAAAGCTACTTGTAAAGGATGTAACAGCCCTGAATAGATCTGTGCTGCAAAATGGAAATTCTGACTGCAGCAGGTACCAGCACACCCAAGCTGGCTGTTGATCTTGCACTGGGGCAGCTACTCCAGCAGCAAAGCCACAGGAAGAGCTCAGCAGAGGCCACAGGAGCCCAACCAGGACCCTGGACACTCACCTCAGAGCCAGCCCACTGTGAAAGCTGAGAAATAAAGGCTTGTTTGGACACTCCTTATGCCTTCCAATTGCAGTGTACTCCTGCTGCTCACAGAGGGAACAGCACCAAGTGTTTCAAAAGCCTTCTGTTTGCTCCTTTGCTTTCTGTAATATTTCTCCTTTTACTGCACATTCACTAAGTTTGGGCTGAACTGTAGCATTACACGAGGTAAGATTCTGAAATAATCCAGAACACTGACTATAATTCGCATTGAGATGTGGAAAAGTTAAAAGAAATAGGCAGAGGTCCTGTCAGGTTCTCAGAAAAAAATTCTATTTGAGGAACCGGACAATACAGCACAACAGAGCTTCCCTTTCCCGCATGCTGCCACCCCACCAGGCCATTTCAAGCAAATAAGACGTGTGTGGTCTTGAAGCAGATGTTTATGTTTCTGTGTATGCAAGTTTACTTTGTGTAAGATTCCCCCAACTCTCCCCAGATCCGTTTCTTTAAACATACTTTACAGTGAGAATAAATTAATTATCTGACTTCAATTTCTATAGAGAACTTCACTATAGAATCACAACCAACTACTCTGTTTCATTTCTAACACTTCACTGATGCCAACTAGACTTATTCAGAGCTAATCAAGTTGAATAAATGTGTAATGAAGATAAGGTGTTATCTCTCACAGTATTTTTTTAAATCCATCAAACATTTTCACAAATTTTAATGAGTTTCAAATAATCAGTATGCAAGTAGAAGAATAAGTCTAATGCTAAAAAAATATTGCTTTGAAATTCAGTCATGTCTAAAAATCCCAAATACTGATAAGCATATTTATAACTACCCATATTTTCATAAGTAAACTAAGTCCTAATAATTAATTATAGAGCACTTGTTAGAAAGCATTTAGAACAGTGTCCACATCACAAAAGAGGCATTGATAAAGGAACTGGGAGTTGTTCAGCCTGAAGAAGAGACAGCTTCAGTGGGTGGTTTGAGGTAGTTGCTGAGAAGGCAAAGCCAGGGTCTTCAAAGGGGTGAGTGACAAGATATAAAAGAAATCAAAACAAACTAGATTCCAGCTTGATTTCAGGGAAAAAAAGCCAAAAACCAACAAACCCCTTCTTTTGCAGTGTAAGGTAGTCAAGCTGTAAAAACAGGCCCCAAGGAAGTTGCAGTCTTCATCGTCAGAGGTTTCTAACACCCAGCTGGAAAGAGTTCTGAACAACTGGGTCTGATCCTGCTTTGAGCAAGGCATTCAACTGGAGGCCTCCTGAAGTCCCCACCAACTGGATTACGCTTCTGTGATCTTCAGATAACAGACAAGATTAAGTCTGCATTAAAAGTACCCATCAAAGAAAGACACACCCTTAAGGAAATGGATTTCTCTGTATCAAGAGAAAACAAGTTTTCAAAAATATTTAAAATGAACATGAAATATTTCCTTTTTTTAATATTATTTCTTAATCTATGTACAAAAGCAGCTTCTGGCAGCCACCCAACATAATACTGCCATGAGCAATTCAAAAAAACATACTCCACCACAGTCTTAAAATAGCTACAACTTTCTCATTATCATGGGGCAGCAGTAGTCCTTCCACACAGCGAGAAATCTTTCAAGTAGTTTTCCACTGCAAGCACATTTTATTCCCCAGTATCACTCATGTACTTCTAGATTTGCACAAAAATTGATAACCTTACAAAGCTCACACTTTGTACCTGTCAGCATCTGAACAGAAAGATAATTACTCTGCAAATTTAAATCAGACAACTTTGCTCCTGCAGATAGCAATAGTTGAACAGTCATTCCTGAATCTAGAATAGCAAGGAGGCAAAGCAATTTTACTGGATTTAACTTGAGCTGATAAACAAAGCTTTGTTAAAGTTACCAGAACTTAATATAGTAACACTATCAAGAAATGGAGGCTCCAGTGATCTTACAATAACAATTAAACTACTTGCAATCTGTGTTTTCATTAAACTTGATATTTATACTTGTGCTTCCTAGGATTCATGGGAATGGAGACACTCACAGCAATGTTTGAAAGGTATGCTGGTAGAGTTTTCCTTGCTATAGTAGCAACATACAGAGCCAGTATGAATATACGGCCTTGTGTTTCCCATATAAAATTAAAAGTATAAAATACAAAGTCCTAAAACCAAAGGCACATCTATCAGAACTACAAATGCACAGAAGAGATAATACATCATATGTAGGATTTCAGAAATAACATACAGAATAGTGCAGTACTCCAGGAATTTCTAAGACAGTATCAAAAATAAGCTAGGACAACCACAAAGGAAAAAAGGAAAAAAAAATATTTCACTCTAAGTATTAAGCAGAAAAGAACATAACTCCTTTACAAAATATATAAGGAAAAGCGGCAGTCCTGAAGTGTCAAGCCGACAGCTGCATCTCAGTTATCAGAGTCACCAAAATAAGCACCAGCATCTTTAACACTGGTGAATAGGTATTTAATCCAATGAAGTCAAGAGTAGTCATTCATCTTACTGAAGGTTAATAAAATTTTAGGAGAAGATATAAAGACATACAGGGGTACAAAACAAGACACAAGAAAGATCTAAGGCAATGAACGCAGTTTTCCAGACACCAGCTGTCTCTAACAAAACAGCACCAGTGAGACAACAGTGCCACAACCAACTAATCCAGTCCACAGAAATACACCTCTTTCAAGCTCATTTAACTCCTTATATTTTAGCACAAAGGAACTATACTCAGAAACAACAATAACGTAGCAGAAGTCTCCAAAGTTACAATGCTACAAAAAAAAAGAAGTAGCATAAAACAAAGAATTCCAGTTTAAAAAAAGTTAAAATACGCAAACTGAAACCTCACAGAAATCCCACACTGGATAAATATTTACTGAAAAATATTTCCAAAGGATATAAACCCAACAACAATTTCCTGCAATAGTGAAAGATACCAATGCAGGGGAGATTTAGAAGCAAAACTGCTTGGGCTGGAAGGGACCTCTATGGTCTATATCTGGTCTATGGACCAGATGACTACCTGGTCCAATCCCCCCTGCAACGAGCAGGGGCATCTTTAAGTAAGCTCAGGTTGCTCAGAGCCCTGACCTCAAATGTTTCTAGGGATGAGAGATCATATGGACAACCTGTGACAATGTTTCAACATCCTTGTGTAAAGCCTTTTCCTTTAACTAGTCTAAATTGGCCCTCT